GCATCCTTCCTTCGCGTGTTGCTCGCAAGATATCAATTGCCACAACTCGAGCGGAATAGAATTTTCATTGAACACGAGGATCGATCAATATTTCCATTTGACAATTGAAATCATCGCGAGTAGCAGCGCTTCCATTACTGCAACGATTAATCTCTCTTAAGACGTCGACACATTTTATATTGAAATATCTATATCAAACATCTACAGAATATCTATATAATTTTTATTTTCTAATTATAATATAATCTGATATTTGTCAGATTTTATTATAATTAAAATAAATTTAATATTACACACATAATCCTAAAATTCAATTTTAATGCAATTATGCGATATCTTCCGTCATACCTATTGCATTGGAGATTTTTATGAATTTTGTGATGTAAATTTATCCTGCGACGTGTGAATGAACATTTGTGAATCTCCGGTACGCGGAAGCGTATAACGATAATGAACTCCGAAAGTAAGAGCGAGACGAAAGTGAAACGCAAACGGGATCCCTCGCGACTCGTCCTCGGAAATGAAATCAGTATCAAAGGCTGAAGTTGACAGGCAGACGGGCACGTGTTGATGTTTCGTAACACGAACTCCTCGTTTTCTCCAGTATGCGATCTAAAATACCGAAGTCAATTACAACGGAAATTAGGATGTTGAAATCACTCGTTGGTCTCTTGTTTTACGCGATGAAATACATTTCAAGTATACATAATTCATAGAAAATATCATTAATATAAAAAAATCAGAATATTCCTTTAAATTTTGCCCAATTTGAAATCAAATTGAGAAAACTGCTAAAAATCGGAGCAGTTTATTTGATCATTATCATTCTGTTTATCATTATTCTCTTTTATCTGACTTACGAATCTCTCATCATTAATACAATCAGCAAAACTCTCGTTTTCAAAAGGAAAGCCGATTCAAAAAGCGAGTTTTCCTGCGTGCATGAGATTTTTGTCTTCTAGTCTTTCACGACCGTGAGACATGATCGCGGGTGTGTTTTGATATTACGATCTATAGAGAAGCCACGTACGCGTTACGTAATGCAGTAGCAAATGCCAAATTATTTCACGCGCATCGGCAGAAATCGTTGCCAACTACGTGCGAAACGCCGGGCTCGCCGCCGCCGTCGCCTCCACCGCCGCCTCCGACGTGTTTTGGCGATGCTTGGCGCTGTAACACGAGAAGCTTTTGGCGAACATGTAGAAACGCGAATTGCGGATTCTTTCCCCAAGTAACTTTTTCCGAGCGTTATACGACCATAAGCGCTATTATTAAGAGAGTGCCAATGTCGAGCAGCGGCGACCGTCGCGGATTTAGCGACAGCTTTCACGCGCAAACTGTCAGATATTCGACAACATTCTCGTGCTATCGTAGTCAAATAATTTCCCGCGCGAACGTTTTGTTGACAGAAGTATGTTTACGCTATTTCGTCTACTCGCCATATAGGAATTTTAAAAACTCAGATTGTTGTAGACTCATTTCGCTCCGAAGGCCGTTCGGGTGATATCTAAAACGTAATTGTTACAAAATACACGCGTAATAATCGTTAATTAAATAATAAAAAAGTGTAATTATTGTTTTACCGTTGAGGGAAAAAAAAATAAAAATTCTCCTGTAATACATAAATCTCTAAAACTTTTAAAATGAATTCTGAAGAGTAAAATCTTATATTCTAAAGAATTGAAAATTAAGTCACTCTTTTTGAAGACTGGCTTAATTTTACTTTAAAGTGAAATTCCAAAGAATATTTAAGGAATATATGTAACTCTCATACAAATGATAACTTTGTATTTGATTCTTAAGAGGAGGATACTTTTGTGTTCTGCATGAAATATATTTCGACACTAAATCATTATAATTCGGGTCTCACACTAAGAAAAATGGTCTGGTTGGATTGAATAGTGATTCTCGTGGAAAATGGATTTCAATAGAACAAATCAGAATTTTCTGGTTAAATTTACTAGAATTCTAGTCGAGATAACTAGAATTATGATATATATATATATAATTATTCTGATAAAAATAAGAATTGTAGTAGATTTTAGCAGAAATATTGTATCAATCAAAATTCTAATAAATTTAAAGAAAAATCTGATTCGTTCATTTTCAACCAGAAATTTTGTTCAGTGCAAAGACGGCAGATTCCTCGGGTTTCCTGTCGCACGCTGAGATCGTTTCGCGGATCTTAACGCGTTTCGGTAAAAGACGTCGCGGTATCGCGCGATCGAATTCAAGTACCTCGAATTACGAAGTAGAAATCGGATCGGCGATCGTTTCACCGCGAGAATCTGCACAAGACGCCTTTGACACCGTCGGACTCATATTTCTTGCCTTTCCGAGAAAGCCTGGGGCGGCCGGACGCTCGCCGTATTTGTGGCCTCGTAAAATAAACGAACCACGTGGTGCGCTACGAAGAAGGCCAAGTTCGAAACGCCGATTATGAATAATACCATTTAGCGTAGCCGCGATAATTTCCAACCCTTCAATCGCGCGAATAATTGATCATACGCGTTTTCTTCGGTCGTAAAGAGTGTATTTTCGACGGAGTGTCGACAAGGAAATACGATATGGACATCTGCGAAATATTTATATACTATCGTCGGCAATTTTGAAATGCAATATTTGCATAATACTTCCGCGATATCAAAATCACGATGAAAATCACGATGGTTCGATAAGAATTTAATTTTTCATTTCATTGTTACTCGTTTTTATCAATTACGTCAGATTTCTCGCTTGTGTAGAAAAGTTTAGTAACAGAAATTATAAAGTGGTGACTACTTTCTCTTTTCCTCATATTTTAATTAAAAACTGGCATATTCACGGAGGAAATGTATTTATTATATAAGTGACTTTTGCATTCCAATGTTATATCGTTCGCGAGAGATTCTGTATGATAACTCCGTGATCTTGTTTTGAAAGTTGGAAAAAAATGCGTCCACGAGGATTAGCTCCGATGAGGAAGAGAAGAAGAGAGAGCATCGTCGTACGTCGCTGGTAATCCGAGGCAAATTATTTGGGCGTTCTATTTCGAGAAGGTGCCTTTGCGAAACCCGCGCGAGCCGGGTCGGGCCTCGCTCGCCACGATGATGGCAGCGATTTCGACGGCGACGTCGTCTTCACGGGACCCACGTTTTCTTTCCGAGACAAATAATGCGGCCGCGCGTATCCGGTTTGCGATCCCGTTGAAACGAAGTCAAAACGATTTCCGTCGACCAGCGCGGACAGAAAAATATTTAGACGCGCATTTTTGGAGGCTGCATAAAAGATGTTAGGGCGCGTTTAACGTGATTTATGAGTAACTATGGACAATGTGAGCACGCGAGCCTCATCGCGGCAATAAATATTTTCATCAGCAGACCGATCAAACTCGTGTAAATCGACAAAAATACGTATCTCCTCCTACTTACGAGATAGGAATGGTAAGCAAATATCTTCAGTATAATCTCAGATAGGACGACTTCATTTCCAACTTTTCTTACGTATTTTTTATATAATGAATACAACAAAATATCAACAATATAATTTTAGTATAAAGAAAGTTAATAAAATTTTTAATATCAATGACGTGTAAAATATCAATTTTTTAATTTTAATTGAATGATCATTTATGCATCAGTTGTAATAATTTAATTTAATTTATTGTGCACCTCCCATAATACGTTTTATTTTTTTTAATTGTACTTTAATATTATATTTCTTGTGTATGCATATATATGTGTATACATATAATATATATGATGAAATTTCTTCATCGTTTTTAATTGCAAGCATTAAATTTTAACAGCTAGTATTACGGATAAAAACTGTTTAAAGATTTAGAAACGTGGCAGTATTTGTTAAGTAATTGATAAATCCACCTGAGAGTTAAGACTTCTTCACATTGAAGATAGAGTATTGTATATTTTATTATTTAGTTATTGTTTATGCTAGATTATAACTTTCAATCAATCACATAATTAAATGTAGAACTTCGTTTCTAATTCACCAATATAAATTTATTATTTTATAAATTGTGAGTTTAAAATCTTTCTTATTTAAAAACTACTTATTTCGTACGTCGTTCTTTCGTTGCACATCATTCGATATTAGATCATGAAATGGGCGGTAGCCTATCGGACAACCCAAGTAGTCAACGAGATTTGGCTTCTAACAGCTGTGTTTTATTCTAGAATATGGGGAAAATACGAAGCATAGATCTTCTATAATACGAAGTAAATAGGAAAGCGAGAGAATGATATTATTGTTATGAAAATAATAAGGAAGAACATAAGAAAGACGAATGAATGATATTCTATTCCAAAAGTATATTAAGAGATGGATTAAAAGTTATTTAAATAGGAACAGAAGATATAATAATAAAATCATGAACAGACAACAGTGAAACTTAAAAAAAATGTTTTTAAAAAATATATGTCAGTTCAAAATCACCTTCTAATTAAAAAAAAAATGTAAAAACATTTAAAATATAAAAATCTTGATTATTTTCATTTAAAAAAAATGCAATTAAGAAAGTGTTTTGATATAAGACTAATGTTTTATATTATGTATATTACATTTAATTTTTGTCGTTTTTTAAAAAAATAAAATGTCGAAAACATTTAAGATATCCGATGCACCTTGATCTTCCCTTTTACAAAAATTTCTCAAAAATTATTAAGATTTGTCATGCAGGAAGTTTTTAGTGTAAAATATTCTTCTTGCGAAAAAGAGAGATTCTATCTGCTTGCGCTTTCCGTGTTTCCACGGTGAGCACGATGCGTTTCGTTGCGGTGATGCATCAAAGCGTGGGTGTTTGCGTTACGCGAATATTTTGCTGGAAAACGGCGAGCACGCACACGTGTTGCGTTATCGCATCGTGGAAGGACTCGACACGAATTGTGAATGCTAGTCGACGTCATACCGTTGATAAGGATTTTTCCAGGTGCGAGGAGACCGCTGTAAGTGAACGCGTGACGAGAAAAAGACCTGATTTCAAAGGAATTTTTCGGCGTTTACTAACGTCACGCACATTGACCTGCTAATTATGTATCGTTCTGCTAATTAAACTGGACCTCCTCATGCGTTATGTATATAATGGAGATTTAACGAGGCCATGCAAGAAAGCATTTTGCATTGCGCCTCAGCGTTGTATAGGCGTATTTATTGACTACACTGAGCAAGAAAATTTATTTTATTACAAACAACTGTTGTTGGAGATAAATTAAATTCATTAATGAATATATTAAAGTTTTAATGTGAATTTTCATATTTAAACTTTTTTAAAAATGCATAGGAATTTCGAGCTGAAAATTAAAGTTACAATTAAACCTATAAATGTCAATTGACAATTTTATATATCTATTGTCTGAAATTTTTAAGTAATTTCGAATAATTCAAGAATCTATAAATAAAATTAAATAAATCTTTCTGATAAAGGTGAATATACGATGTGTGCAACAGTTGACAATTTGCCAAACACGTGGATGCTTCAACGCGAGAATAGATGCGTTCCATCTTGAAAAGAAAATCTTTATAATAATGTGCCATCTTCATCCAATAAAGTAGCGCAATAAAGTAGTTTATTAAATGTGAAGGATTATATTGTTTCTTACAAGAACGATCGCTTTCAGAAATATTGTGTTCCAATTGCGATATGAATCTGTGCAATCATTTTCGCTGTTGGCAAAATTTGAAACCAGCTCTGGTATACATCGCAAAAACAATTGCTTGTCTTAATTCGATAAATGTCATTGTACAAAAATAAACTAGAAGCGTTCTCTTTATTATATTATTATTACAGAGCTGTTAAATAGAAAGTTATATTAAAGTTAAATGTCATCCTTTTAATTTTTTTAAATAATTAAGATTAATTATTTAAATGTACCGACATTCTTATGATTAAAGTAATTACAAAATTGTAAAATATTACAAGACATACAACACGATGAAATAGTTTTAAGCAACACTGAAGGAAATAATCTTTATTTTTAAGCGATTAAGCTATCTAATGACAATATGTGTAGGTACCACTATTAATGATGATAAGCTGTCAAGTGTGAGTTTTTAGATACAAGAAGGTGTTCATCAAATATCTCAAATCTTATCTAGTTTCTTATCAAGCAGGAAGTGCCCTTTGGTTTCTATTCAACGATAAATATTTGACTTTTTCATCGACTATCTAAAATTATCCCTCCGAGCAACTGCGGCTGTGCATCGGCAATTGCAAGTTCTGTTTACGCGGCTGCATCCGTACCATTGCGCGATACAACTGGGAAATTACGGGTGCGATTTGTTTGCAGATTATAAGGCGAGAGTGAATCGGATTTCACGCGCAGGATGTTCACGGCTCTCGTAATGGACCATTCGTGGTGATTCGACCGAACGACGACATCGATGAGGGCGGAAGACGAGCATCCAATTTGGATTTCCGCGAAGTGCATTCGCGTGCGATTTGTCGTGTTTAAATGAGGACAAAAATCGAGAAAATCGTCCGTGAATCCTTGGCCAACGATCCAAGAGCGATAAACTCGCTTGAAAGCCAATTTATTTTCTTCCGTTTATGTCACGAAAAATTGCACAGTTTTCCAGCAATTCCCGCAGAATATAAATAATATCAAAGTAGCATAAGAGCAATATATTATTAGCCAAGACAAATTAATAAGTTATAATTATTCTAAATTTACCACTGTTAAAAAATAATTTGTTTGCAAATATTGATAATTTTATGTTTAAAATTAATGCGTGACATGTGAAAGAACAAGATAATTAATTACTCACATTGTATATAGCAATTAAAATTAATCGCTTATAGCATCAGGTAATTAAGTTAATTAGTCATGGTAAATTAAATCCCCCGCACATGTAACATGACTGTGTGTTCTCAGGAAAGGCGAACAAAGAGCCAGTGATTAATTTACATTGTTTTGACAAGAGTTATGCATATTTTACGCGTAAATATGGCACGAATTTAAATTCCCGTGAGATGAAAACTCGGGATTTTTGGCTGCTCTAGCGAACCAGGTGATATTCAGGAGAGTAAGTAACAACATAATAAGAAAGAAAAAGAATGTGGAGAGAGGCAAGCACAGTGATGAGAGATTTGCGTTGCGTAGGTGTTTTGGCTCAACTCTTTTGGAGATTCGAGCGAGAGGATGACATTGCACACGATACAACGACATTCCGAATGCGAAACAGAATATTAGTAAACGAACGCTTCATGCATTCTTTTTTACTGTAATTATAATTCTTAAATATGATTCTAAATAAACATTCCAATCGTGAATAAGTATTAAATATATATTACATAAATCTTTAATTTATAGATAGTCCCCAATTCTTCGCAATTTCAAATATCAACGGAAATGACTTAATTTGAGAATAATCATATTTTATATTAATTTACATCGAGAATAAAAGTGTCACATTTTTGAAAAATTGACGCATAAATATCCATTTTAATATCACTTATGGTAGAACTTGCGACAAATGATATTGAAATAATAATGGGGATAACGCGGATACTTTGCGAAAGATCGAGTCATGTGTATGGCGAACGGTAGCGAAAGGGAGGAGAAGAAAAAAAGTCTCAGCGACTCGACGAGACGCCACGGTGAGAAATAAAAGCGATATTTTTATATCCACGGGAGTAAGCTCGGTGGCGCGCGTCCGCCACCGGGTCTCAGCCTCTATTAATATCCACGGACTGGGCTTCCTCTCAGGCATTCTCGTAGCAAACTCTCTTTGCACGAGCAGCAATGGCGTGATGTGATTGGCCGGCGGAGGAATGAAATTTCCAAGAAAAAAATTCAGTCAGTCGCAATTTGGAAAAAAGATCATTGTCGATACATATCTAAGATATGAATATAATAGCGAATTCGGTCACTTAGATTACACTAGAATAGTGCATATTAAAAAGTGCACGAAATTTACAAAATTAAATATATATATATAAATGTTTAAAATGATTAAATACCTAATAAATATTGATACGTTATTTAAGAGAATATACATGTATTATTTTATTGTTAAAATTGATTATATCGCCATTGCATTTAAATACTTTATAAAACAGTTTTTAATAAGCAATAAACTAGGGTGATATGAATTTATCAGAACTATCATGAGAAATATCATTCTTATGATGATAAATCAGACGAAAGAAAGACGATTGATAACAACGGTGCGTGTATTAATATAGGAATCAAATTATAAGAGATTCTTTTATTAGAATTATCGGACAATATTGTCTTGCAAATAAATGAAAAGTAATGTAGAAGAATTGACAATAAATATTAAATTAATTAATTCTCGAATCGTCTAAACCGAATAAAGTACTTCTTAGACTAGAAAAAATTAGTAGAAGCGACTAACAAATCGGCGGAAAACTCAGCGTGTGAAATTGTATCTCGATGACGAAGTCGAAGATTTCAGTGCACTATTGTCGTAAATGTCGATTCGATTTCGAGAATGGAGAGAAGATAGTAGGAGGCGGTTGTGGGAAACTTGCCAAAAGTCGTGGCAGAAATCGGTCTTCTCCCGTTTGTTTGTCGTGGCCATACCACCTCGTGAATCCATTGGTAACGCGACACCCCCATCGCGACGGCGGTTGTGTCACGATTACGACTGTGGATAGTCGAACTCTGCGTTGAACTATATATACATTTACGAATTCGCGTCGTAGAAAAGCAGAATTGCTGATATCGGGCGCCACATGTCTTCGTTGTGCGCGTAAACATTTGTCCGATTTTACTTAGTATTACTAAAAGCATGCGAAGGCATTGCTTGAACTTTCAAATTAAACTGCTGCCAATCCAAACGAAATTCGAAAGCTGATTATATTTTTCAACACGTGCATTTACAAAATTTCTATTTTTTTTGTATTTGAATTATAAGATTTCTGTTTTTTTTTCAATTCCAAATATTTGGTATATTGAATCAATAAAAATATTTTTTATTTAGTTTAAAATTCTTCCTTGAAAAAAGAATACGATAAATATCCTCACGTTTTTAGTGGAAAAATTTAATCAAAGTTAATAAAAAAAAAAATCTCATAAAAAATTATATAAAAAACTGGGACTCGCTTGGCACATAATTTCATCTTGTCAATGATTCAACTAAGTGAATAATAAGCAGGAGAATTCACATCTAAGCGCAATTCAACGATGCAATCCGAGATGAAATCATCGTCGTATTTATGCTCAGTTGAGTTTA